GCTAAAGTTCATGCTGGCATCTCAGAAGATTTTATAAAAAATTCTTTTGCTTAATTTTATATCTAATGTTTTCAAGCTTGAAAAGGAGATGGGAATGTGGCACAACAGTAAAGCTCTTGAAGCAAAGTCCTGGGTTTCATTTCTACTACCAAAGAGAAAAGACAAGTAAGTTTTAAAGAACAGCTCTAACCAAAATTATTTAAATGTGTATAAGTAAAAAATTATATGTGTGTGTAATAAAATTGAGCATTTTGACATTATAATTAACTTAACTATTTTTATTAGCTCTAACTTATATTTACCTATGTGATCTAAGTTATATTGCTAGTATTTATTCTAAAGCTAATATTTATTTGAATATTGCTTTATTTTACTTTAGTATTGGCGTCCAACGTGGTGGCAAGAGTTTCCACCTAAAAACTGAGAAAAAAGATTCTAAAACGGAGCTAAAAACAGTTCCTAATTGTCTCTCTCAAATGAGTGGCAGCTGCCGGTTTGAGCTACTGGCGGGTTCCTAGCATGCGCGCTCGACCTGCAGTATGGTGGGAATGAGGCCTCTGCAAGTGGTACATTAAGCTGTGTGGTGGATTTAGCCTTTGCTAGTACAAAACAAAAAATAAGAGGTTTCTGGGCTACACACTGCTTGGATAAAAGCACAGACCCACGATAGCTCCCAGAGCTGGCGGTAAACTACCACGGCCATGTTGGAAAGCTGAGGTGGGCGGAGCCAGCAGCCACAGCTGCTGCAGTTTAAAGCGATAGATTCACAAAGACAGATTCAGATGTAATAGTTTACAATGTGTGTAAAATATACATAGGCTTGAAAGAGACAAAAAAGCTGATATATACAGTTATAGAAGCAAATACATAGTTTTAAAAAATAAAGTCTTTAAAGAGACAGTAAAATTAATATAAAAAATAAGCCACATGATGAATATTACACAGAGAATCTGGATTGTGTTGTCTTTGGGATTTTTAACTGCAGAAAAACATTTGATTGTAAAAGCTGTTGAGTTATGCCAAAATGTATATTTTAAAGATACCTTGACTTCAAAATTTGGATGTAAGGATATGTTGCTTTGGAAAGGAGACTCTGCTTTTGTTCCCACAGAAAGCCAAAGGCTATGGATTTGTTCCAGATTAAGATACATCAGGTTTGACCAGCCAAGACCCCCTGAAAGGTCTCCGATGACACCATGGCCCAGACGATTCAACATCCAGAATGGTTTGAAGGCAACTGGCTCAGATGATACACCCTCATGGACTATTCCATAATCCTAAAATTTTCTTTATGTCCCCATAAGATACAGCGCCCCCCTCCAGCAGGAAGTAGTAAGAGAAGCTACGCCCAAATTCCCAAATTATATGTAATTTTATTTTGTTAAGGTTAAAACCTTCCTTTTTGAAAAAAAAAAAAATGGGGGAAGTGCTGTGGGATGTTCTGTATGGCAAATGTGTTGCTCTGATTGATCAATAAATAAATCACTGATTGGCCATTGGCTAGGCAGGAAGTATAGGCGGGACAAGGAGGAGAATTCTGGGAAGTGGAAGGCTGAGTCAGAGAGACACTGCCAGCCGCCATGATGAGAAACAGCATGTGAAGATGCCGGTAAGCCACGAGCCATATGGCAAGGTATAGATTTATAGAAATGGATTAATTTAAGCTGTAAGAACAGTCAGCAAGAAGCCTGCCACGGCCATACAGTTTGTAAGCAATATAAGTCTCTGTGTTTACTTGGCTGGGTTTGAGAGGCTGTGGGACTGGCGGGTGACAAAGATTTGTCCTGACTGTGGGCCAGGCAGGAAAACTCTAGCTACATAGTATCACATTTTTTTCTTTATAAAAAATTTAAACAGGAGATGAGAATTTAGCTCAATGACAGAGTGCTTGCCTAGCAAGTGCAAGGCCCTGGGTTTGGTCCTCAGAATTAAATCAGATAGCTGTTTAACTGAATAAAACTATTAAGATGCTAAAGTTGAGCAATTTAAGAATTTGTTTCCTCACAGATATTATGTTTGTACATATATATGCAAATGTAAAACCTATGAAAAAATTTTAGCATTTATAAATTCATAACTACCATTCCAAGGTAGAAAAACCATATATGTACATGTGCTTGCATATATATATGTATATCACACACACATACAAACAGCCTTGGGTATATATATGTGTTATATTACATATATGTGTACATATATGCACATTCGCATATATTCATATCTATACACATATATGCCTGGGCAGGAAAATTACGTGCAGCATTAACCAGCAATTTATAGGGAGCATGTGAATACAGTAATAAATTTGACTTTAGACTATATCTCATTATTACCACAGAGGCTGTTGGCCATCTACATTGCTATCATTTCCTGTGAAAATTTACTAACCATGTGATGTTTGTGTTTTTGCTGATGTTGAGAACATGAAAACTGGAAGACAGAGGGTTTTCATGGTAGCACATACCCGTAAGGCCAGCACTCTCAGTAGACAGGAGGATCAGGAATTCAAGGTCATCCTCAGCTACAGAGTAAGTTTCAGGCCAGCCTGGGTGAAATGGGACCCTGTCTCAAACAAACAAACACAACCAGAACAGAACAGTCTGGATCCTGGGCTTCCTGCTCTACATTAAGGAAAAACAATCCAACCTCTCAGGACTCCAGCTAGCTTACCTGGAAAAGAATGACAACTCTATCTACATGACATCCTTGCTCTGTCCATTCAAGGAGATGATGTCTAAGGTCTTGACCAGTCTGCTACCTGGCAGAGTTGTAACTAACATATACCCATCATGTATGGAAATGCCCCATAATTATGGCACAGTGGTAACTAACATATGTGTTTATTACCCATCATGCATGGAAATGCCCCACAATGATGTTCGTAAGACCAGTGTGGTAATGAAGCAGTTTCTAAATAATTAAAGATGCATTAATTATGCACAAGATCTTTAAGGTTCATATCCTTTCAACCAATAATATGACTTCCAAAAAAGTAGCCAGAGGAAATTATTAGAAATGTCATCTAATATTTATGTAGAAAGACTCTTCAAAATCTTTATTTTTTCTCTTTTATTGAAAACAGATTTTTTCTCATACAATATATTCTGATTATAGTTTCTCGTCTCTTGACTCCTCCCAGTTCCTCCCTTCCTCCCCTCCTATCCAGATACACTCCCTTTATGTCTTTCATTAGAAAAGAACAGGCGTCTAAGAGATAACAAAAAAACAACAAAATAATAAAACAAAAAACATCTCATCAAAGTTGGACAAGGCAAACCAACGAAAGGAAAAGACCACAAGAGAAGGCACAAGTTATTATTAATAAAAAACTAGAAATAACTCAAGTATCCAAATATCATACATAGGATTATTATGAAATATTCAATCAATAATTAAAATATTCATGAGGCCTCAAAGAAAGACCCAAATGCTCTCAAAAAATAAATTAGAGCAACAGAATATAGACACACATCTCAGCTACATTATGCTCTTATGTATGTATCATATATGCACACACACACAAATGCACAAAAAACACATCAAAATGTTAACAATGAGAAGTATGGTATTAGGAAGCAGTTATGGGTTTTTTTTTTTTTTGCAATAAGGTCTTGCTATATAGTCCAGGCTGGTCTCAAACTCAATATGTAGTTCAGGATGACTTAAAAAACATGATTGTTCTGCCTTAGACTTCTCAGTGCTAGGATTACAAGTGTGTACCACCATGCCTGGTTCAGGTAAATTTTTATTGTCTCATACACAAATATGTATATGCAATTTTCAAGTTTTTCTACTGTGCTTAGAATACATAAAAACTACACCCAATTCTGCATATTACTCAGTATATTCTAGTTTTCAATAAATATCTTTTAAATTAAACATCTCAATTCCAAAACAACTTGGAGTAGCTGATAGAGATGCACACAACCGACTCAAACACATGAGGAAACAGATAAAAGCAAGAAATGAACTTGCACACTCTCAGTGCACACATGCACATACACTTGTGTGTGTATATACACACATATAAATATCGATATTCATGTCCATCAAAGATCTGTTTCAGATATAGAGAACTGGAGGGAGTGTCTTCAATTCCTCAGAAAAGATGTACTCTGGGGGTAATAATCACTGTTTAATTTTTTTAGTATTTATTTTATGTGTATCAGAGTTTTGCCTGCATATAGGTATGTGTAACACATGCATACATGGTGCCCTCAAAGTCAGAAGAGGGCATGAGATCCCCTGGACCAGGAACTGTGGATGGTTGTGAGCCACCATGTGGGTGCTGTGAACTAAACCTAGGTCCTCTGCAAGAACAACTGTAGTGGGGAGCTGGTTGAGCCATGCCCTGAAGTATCACCCCTAGTGAGGCAGCTGTAGCTGTTACACTTGCCTATGACCTTGAGGCACCTGCCCCTGGGGCATGGCCACCAGGGACCCTCAAGACCTGGGATGCACATATGCCCCCTCTCTTGGCTACCTTGTGGTTTTGGATGCTGAGATCTTAGACCAAGCTGTTCAATAGGGGACATAGCTCATGTTTCTTGGACCCTATGATAAATCTCCCATGGTTGTGAGTTTATCCCTAAATAAATTCCTTTGATCATTAAATAGACTCCGTGGATTAATCCCATTGGACAACAATTGCACTTGACTGCTGAGCCATCTCTCCAACCCCATAAACAATGCTTCAAATATGTACTTGGAGTGCTATTTAAGTGAAGTGAGTGAGCCCCAGTTACGTGGCTGGACAGTCAGAAGGAAGGTTAGAAGACAAGGAAGCAAGATCTGTTAGCACAGCCATGATCAACAGCCAAAGGAACAGCTAAGGACGCACAGATACCAAAATAAAGACAAAACCTAGACAGAGTCCACCTTAAATGTTGCCTTGATTCATGTGCCTTCAAAGAAAAAACTGAAATATTAAAGTATATTTTAACTTCATCATTAAACAAGTTAGTGTATTAATAAAACATCTACAACATGGCACTTACCTTCACTGATGGCATGAGGCTTAATAATGCAACAGGTACAGTTGGTAAATTTAGCAGTGTTTGCTGGTCCACAGCCTCCACTTGAAGGAAAAAATAACTCCATTTCCTAAAGATACAGAAAGATGAGAAAGGGGATTTTGACACAGATGATCTCTTATCTGAAACTTATAGAATATTTCTGGAGATATACAATTAAAGTTTCATGATATAAATTCTATGTTCCAAATCTCCTAAATGTGAATTTGCAAAGACTGTGTAACTTAGCTCCATTTGGGCACTTAGCAATCAGAACATGCGGGGAGGATTGAAGCAACACGAACACGTCACTGTGTGACCTCTATTTAAGTGACAAGGTTTCAACAAATTCTGAGAATTGGAAAAAACCAATAGGAGGTTCTTACTTTCTCCAAAGTATAGTTCATAAATACAGATTAAAATTAAGCTTAAAAATAAAATATGTAAAACAAAGTCAAAACAAGGACATCATTACAGAAACAGAAAAGTTAATGTTTAGGAGTCTGAGAACTACAGCTAATTAGCAATAATTTACATAGTTCTATTACAAATCAAAATGAGCAATATATTATGGCCTGATTCACACCGTGGTTATTTGCTTTGCCCATGGCTCATTAAACCAAGAAGTCAGCAATCCGAATGAACCACAAAGATGTTCACATTAATCAATTCTTTTAATCCCTCACATGTGGCCTCTAAGCTTTCAGCACTATTCTTTCCATTATATTCTCCATAAAAACTTCTGTTCCGCACTCCAAAACATCTGCCAGGAAACAAAGAACTATCCAAATGCTATCACCTCCAGAAACCTTTTCCTGATGCTCCCAATCACACCATGCATCCCTCACAGCTGTGACTTGTCATCAGCCAAACTATAAATTTAAAGAAAAGAACCAACTTGCAGAGCTTAGTAGCTTCCAAAACACCTAAAACAAAACCTGCCGCAGAGTTAGTATTTTCTTTTCACTGGATTTATACTTGAAAGGTCAAATCTACCATTCAGGAGGCAGAGGCAGGAGGTCCTTTGCTAGCACAAGTCTGCCTGGCCTGTGCAATAAGTTTTAGGTTAACAATGCCTACACAGTGAGACCGTGACTCAAATTTACCATAAAATAAATCAGAGCTACACTAACGAATTTTCATATTTTATTAGTGTACATTAATTATATAGACTAATAGGCTTCACAGGATATTTTTGTAGAAGTCTAGCACACACCGTGCTCATATCCAGTCCCACACTCCCCCCTTACTCTTCCCTCTACCTTCCCCATCTTCTCTAATGGTCTCCCTTTTATCTTGATGTGTAAATACTTTTTTAAAATATAAGCAAGAGAGACGAAGAGAATTTACTCGAATATTGTATTATTATTATTGGCTATTATTCTGCTTTTTGTCACCATAAATCAATTTTTATAATTTTATATAAGTAGATTCATATTATATGTTATTTTTCTAGCCTCTTTCACTCAAAAAAAAATTTTGAGGTTCATTCCCTGTAATTCTTTCTCTTTCTTTCTTTCTTTTTTGACAAATGATATGCCGTGGATGGCTACACCATAGCTTGTTCATTTGTTCATCTGTCGGACATTTGTGATCTCTCTGGTTTGGACTATTACAAATTAGCTATTATGAATATACAAATCCAATCTTCTACCAAAGCCATTCATTTGTGATCTCTCTGGTTTGGACTATTACAAATTAGATATTATGAATACACAAATCCAATCTTCTACAAAAGCCATTCATAGGATAATTCTTAATTTTTTTTCTGTTAAGACCTAGATTTCATTTTTTCATTTAAAGAAAGAAACTTTTTTGCTTTGAATTTTTCATTACATCTATCTGTCTGTCTGTCTGTCTACCTATGTGTCCACGCAGTGTGCATGTGCATGGCCAGAGGCCAAAGAACAACTTACAGGAATACATTCTCTCCTTCCACCACGGGGGTCGCAGGTAACAAACTCAGGACACTGGGGGTTGATAAAAGCACCTTGACCCACTAAGCCATCTTGCTGGTCCAAGACCTAGAGTTCTTGCGTCTTCACACACGCTGCATGGTCCAGGTATTTCCAGTACTTCTCCTAGACTCCTGCTTACCTAACAACAGTGCTTGGTCTGAATGACAAACAGACTACTCAAATGAAGCCTTCTTTTGGAATATCTACTACAGATCTGTAAACTAGTATTCTTAATTGAATTCAGTCACAAACACGAGGCTCAGCAACTTACACTTTCACAGAGAGAAGTGGGCAACAAGTGTCAAACTGGAAGAAAACTACTCGACTGTGACCAACACGACTAAGTTAAAAAGGCATGGCTTTGAACCACTACGGATCCTAAGAAACAGTCAACAGTTGCTTACCACTACTACATCAGCTGTTTACATCCCCCAAAGTCTTCAGTGGCAGAAATACTTTATTCTGACATAAAACTGTTATGGAATCTCAGTTGAAGATGTGTTACATCTGTTTATGCTGTGGGACACTTGTTTAATGATGCAAAGCTGTGTTACGTTGGCTGTCTAAAACACCTGGTTGGTCAAATAAAGAGCTGAATGGCCAATAGCAAGGCAGGAGAAAGGATAGGCGGGGCTGGCAGGCAGAGAGAATAAATAGGAGGAGAAATCTGGGAAGAGAATCAAGGAGGAGTGAAAGGAGGAGAGGAAGACTCCAGGGGCCAGCCACCTGGCTACCCAGCAAGCAATGGAGTAAGAAGTAAAGAAAGGTATACAGGATAGAGAAAGATAAAAGCCTAGAGGCAAGAGATAGACAGGATAATTTAAGTTATGACAAGCTGGCTAGAAACAAGCCAAGTTAAGGCTGGGCATTCATAAGAAAGAATAAGACCCTGTGTGATATATTTGGGATCTGGGTCCTGGCCCCCCCAAAGAGCAAAGAGTGAAAAACAACAACTACATAAAACAATTTCCCAAACAAAACAGAAGGAAAATATTTCTCCAAACAACTTACTCTGGCAGCAGATGCAAAAGAATCAGAGCCGTGAGCCGCATTTCTTATGCCATCTGTCCCAAAGAGGGCTCTGACGCTTCCAGGGGCATCTGTACGAGCTTGCCCAGAGTTTGCAGGTCCAAGTAATCTTTTCCACTCACATATTGCATCATCTCTTAAAATCTCCATGGCAATAACAGGCCCACTTGTAATAAACTGGATCAGTTCGCTAGGAAACAGAGAAAAGCTTGAATTACTTCTCTACTCTGTCACTCTAGACATCTGCCTTAACAATGAAGGTACACTTACACATCAGTAATTTCAGGGACGAGAGTGTTTATGGCCACAGTGAAGCATATATGGGCAGTGCAAAACCCTCATGAATGGAATGCTTTACATGGATCTAGTCTGCTACAAAATCATTACAGAAGTTATGTCAGGCTCATTACCGTTTGCAAGGTAGCTTGTTGAATTCTGATGATTTCATCGACTTACAATGCATATTGTTGAACTAAGCTTTTCCCGTTACTCTAAGAAGGACAAAGGTGATCCCCTTCTTATTTTCATATGTTTTACCGCAACAGTCAGGTAGAATTTTACAATACCAAAATAATGAGCATGGCATTTTGTAACATTTGCCATTAAGAACTTATTTAAATTTGTAGTGTATCTCAAATGCAGAGTGACAACTCTAAACCAATGTGATAAAGAAAAAGCATGTCAAAAACTAGCCTTTATTAGGAGAAAACTACTCTGTGTTATGATACACTAAATGATCAACCATACACACAAGGTTTTATTAAAAGTTTATGCCTTAGTTCCAGTTCCTTGGGAATGAAAACTGACATTTCATTTTATTTTTCCATTTCTTCATGTACACAAGGCGGCAATGACAAATTTAACTTGAAATAAGTGACATCCCAGTCCCTCACTTTCTTAAACAGAGGCAAATAGAGAGAAGACTGGGCCTTCTCAGAGAAAGGAAGTCAATGAACAGGCCTCTGCATGCCTATTACCTTATGACTGCTTTATATATCACCTTCTCACTCCTTCATCAATCACTCCAGTTCACTTAAAGGAACATTTCCAGGAAATAACACGTACAAAGAAGTATCTATACCCACTCTGCTAAGAGGACACAGCATCTTTAAACATATTGCCAGGCCTTAGCAGCCAAAACCAAACAAAAAGAAGGAAGTATGAAGGAAGAAAGGAAAAGTGGGAGGAAGCAGTTAGTTACCTATTTAATAAGCATTTAATTATCATGCACTACATATCAGGATTTATGCAATAAAACAAAATCCAACCCTCAAAAATGTTTAATCTAATATATGATTAACTCAGAATTTTATAATATGAGGGTGGCATATAATAGCTGAGGGGATGGGGACTACTGAGAGGAAATGGATCACGAGCTGACTTCCAGTTACTACAGCTGGTCTCTTGGTATGTCTTCCCGATGTCAGGCAACCAGTTCATTCATTCATTAAGACTTTCTGCATATGAACTGCATGTAAGATATTAAACTAGGAATTATGATTCAGTGTTATAAAGACATACAAAAAACTTAAAACAAAGAATAATTGCCAAAAATACACATGATAATTCTAACAAAGTTTAGGAATATTTTATGATATCTGATTAAGCTATAATGCAGTAATTTTATTAAATAAAGTTTTTGTTAAAGTTTTTCTATGTAGGATATGCAGCAGATGGCTAAAATTTCATTTGCCTTTATTAGAAATACAGACATTCCTTTGTCAATTGCTATGTACATTATTCACTTTAATTACATCCAAAATATTTATAATAGATTCTAACAAATATTATTAGCTATTATCCATTTCCAAAGGAACAAAATATATATCAAATTATTCAGTTCTGTGACTATTGCTTTGTATGTACAAGATACCAAACAAAGACCTTAAAAGCACAACAAAATTCCCAGCAGAAAATATAATTACAAACATATTTTCAATTCAGTGAAATATAAAAGGATGTTTCTTAGAACTTAAATAAGCGATTCATTTGTTTCTGATTAAGGTTCAAGTATTTTAGTGATGGATATAAGAAGTCTTTCTAATAAATGCATAGAAAAAAACAATTTTAGTCCCCAAGCTAAGCACCTACTTATAAAATGGCCTTGAGTGGTGGTCTGCATGAAAGTCTATTGCTTCTTTCCTATAAAATAAGCAAAATAACAATAGTTAATATTTCTGAAAATAGTTATTTTAGCTTATATTAATAAAACAAAATATAGATTAAAACACACATGCATGTGATTTGTATATAAATTAACTAAGCTTTTTTTCCCACCAAATTGCATATCCCAAGCATGGGTCCTACCTATGCTGAGATATAAAATTAAAATAAGAAGATATTTTTACTTTTTCATTAATGCTACACTTCATCTGTCCTCCATTTCATCAGCATCTCACCGTATTCTCAATACAATGTTAAATATCAGATCAACAAGAATGTTTGTTATTTAAAGTCTAAACAAGTTATATTAAAAAAATGAAGACACATCTTCTAATTCAAACATTAGAATTAATTTTAAGCTTTAGAACTTTGGCTACAGCTTATTTTATTTTTTGTGATCTACTGGGTATAAACCAAGGGCCTCCCTCATGCTACAGAGCACTCTACTGCTGAGCTACATCCCAAGCCCCTGCAGTTCTTAATTTACTAGTTTTTGCTTAGTTATTAGTAAGATCTCTTCAAGGAAAAGATCTGTATGTTTGTAATTTTAAAAAATTCTTGATAAATTATACATATTAAAATCTCCATTTCCACTAAAAGTATCTGTAGAGACAATAATCTACTCCAGTAAGTTTACAGGTCTAAAAAGCTTTCCTGCCCTACCAAAATCAGGTTTCTTTCTTATAACTGCACAGCTTTCTTGTTGGATTTAAAAAAAATTTATAGGGGGCTGGAGAGATGGCTCAGAGGTTAGGAGCTCTGGCTGCTCTTCCAGAGGTCCTGAGTTCAGTTCCCAGCAACCACATGGTGGCTCACAACCATCTATAATGAGATCTGGTGCCCTCTTCTGGCCTGCAGGGATACATGCAGACAGAACACTGTATACATAGTAAATAAATCTTTTTTTTTTAAAGAATTTATACTATGTAACAAATATATATAAACATCAACCAATATTTTAAAATTTCTGTTAATTTATTTTAAATGTACAGGATTTAGCCTGTTTACCATATGCATGCAGTACACTTAGTGCTCCAGAAGAGGGTGTCAGATCCCCTGGGGCTGGAGTTACAGATGGTTGTGAGCCACCATATGGGTACTGGGAACTGAACCTGGGTCCTCTGGAAGAGCATCCAGTGCTCTTCACTGATGAGTCATCTCTACAGCCCCTCAACTATTTTTTAAAATAGCAAATAAACTACAAGTGTTTGCTAGCATTAAAAAAAAAAAAATCAACCTTTAGACTTGAGAATTTATTTTGTATGCAATGCTTTTAAGATCTTTTTTTTTTTTTTTTTTTTTTTTTTTTTTTTGGTTTTTCGAGACAGGGTTTCTCTGTGTAGCTTTGCGCCTTTCCTGGAACTCACTTGGTAGTCCAGGCTGGCCTCGAACTCACAGAGATCCGCCTGGCTCTGCCTCCCGAGTGCTGGGATTAAAGGCGTGCGCCACCACCGCCTGGCCTTTTAAGATCTTTTATCATCCATAGTTAGGGAGGTTTTGGAGCACGGTGGGAAACCTACTGTTGTTGTTTAGCTAAATTGACAAGGTATCAAACTGTCTTCTATGCAACTATGTTTCTACCCACAGACAAATGCTGCTCGCAAAAGCCTTACTCAGATAAGCCTCTCTCCAGTGACCAGTGATGAACGCAAAGATTCTAGGATGATCAAGGTACCGAGAGAAGAGACAGTGGAGTGCTCAGCCCTAAGCAAGATACTTATACCATCCACTCTAGGGTTCAGGGAATGTCATAGAAGAAAGGGTGGAAAGATGTAAGAGATGGGAGACAGGGAGAAGGGCTGCCAAATGTTCTCTGCTGGGCACAACCCAGCCACTGCAATTGTGAACTCACGGCTGCTGTCATTGCCTACACTGGACCTGAGCAAGACCGGACCTGTCCACAGCAATTTGTTAATAAGTGATTTGTTATTAAGTGTTACATACTCTGCTCTACTTTTATGCACTGGGGAGCTCCATTTGTTGTTTACACCAACAGCACCTCAAGTGATAAAGGTGTACCATGGAACAAGGGCTACAACATCACAAAAAATTCTCATCTCCATCGAAATCTTATGAGACCACCATCATACATAGTCCATCACTGACCAAAACGTTGCTATTCGCTACATCGCTTCATTTATTCCTGCCCTGCCTTGAACCCGAGGACACTGGCACCGAAGAGAAGGGAGTCACATTTCTGTCCTTTGTCCGGCCCTGTGAATACTTTGTTACCATTCCTAAGATCAACAACGTTATCCTGGGATTCCAATCATTTCGTAATAGAAAAGGCTTGTTAGGCTAAGTCTTATTTTCATCAAATACTTTAAAAAGTATCTAATTAGGTTAAATCATAGTACTTTTACATAGAGAAGTAAACAGGTAATATTGGCATACACATTAAGATGAATTAAATGTAAATAAACATTTCTAAATGCATCCCTTTCAAAAACCAGAACCAACAGAAACCACTGGATGGCCACATCCTCTATTATTTTCATAAAGTACATTATTCTTACATAGAAGAGATGTGAGGAATTGATGTTACGAAAGCACAGAGCTATGGACGTCAACACAGTTAAATGAGGGCTATGTAATCTGCCAACCTCTGGTTGCTTAGAGTTAGGTCATTATTTAACTAGCTGATTATCTATGGTCTTGCTTGCTTCATCATGGTACTCTATATTTGCCATTCAGTGAAAGGTTTTTGTTTTGCTTTGTGGCCTCTTTGCTTCTGCTGTTGTTTATTTAAAGAGTGATGGGAAAGATAAATGACATTACAGAACTGAAAATGAGCAGCCCATTAATTACCTTGAAAGCATCATCATTCGGAGTTTGGTGATAGTAAATCCACTTTTGTTTATCATTTCAATGATTTCTCCAGCTTTTGATATTGCATCTGGTTTGATCAGGGCTAATGTTCTGTAAAGAAATAAAGAATGGATTTGAAAATAAAAAGAGTCCTACAGTTTTTATTTATGATTCCAAGCAGCAATTTTCTTAACTATATTAGACCATTGCCATCCAAATTAAAAATACAGGGAAGTGTATTAAAGATATCACTTAAAAACTTATATAAAGTAAGATCACTATTTTCCCAAAGAAGTCAAAATCAGCTAAATCTTATTTTTAAAAGGCAAGAGGCTGGATGTGGTGGCACACCCTTTAATTCTAGCACCCAGGAGGCAGAGGAGGCAGATCTCTATTGTGAGTTTGAGGCTAGCCTGTTCTACATAGAGTTCCAGGCCAGCCAACAATATATCTATAAAAAATAAAATAAAAAATAAGAGGAAGTGGTGGAAAAAGAAAAGAAAATGAGCAGGAAGGAACACTAAAATTGATATTTTTATTTTTAAAAATTTTATTACATTTATTTATTTTTCACGTGTGTGTTTACGTGTGTGTGTGGGGGGGGGGAATGAGCCTTCCATGGCCTGGGCATGGAGACCAGAGGGCAACTTGTAAGAGTCAACTCTCTTCTGCCACGTAGGTCTCAGGGATACAACTCAGTCCTCTGGCTCGATAGCAAAGCCTTTAACTGCTGAGCTATCTCATCATCCCTAAAATGTATGTTTTTTTTTTTAAATACCCAAATTAGAGAATGCAGGTGTTTAAAATATCTATATATTCTAGGATATTTTTATATAGGGAACTGATCCCCAAGAAATTGCATTAAATAGACTAGAAATTTAGCGTTCCCTAACCACTTCAACTTTTGCATGCCATGCTTTCAGGTCAGCACTGACTCCAAAGTAACTATAAATTCTTCTACTGGGTCTCTATTCACGGCAAGGTCAAAACACGAAGACGCACATGCCCTCTGACCCAACAGCACATGTGAATATCAAATGCCACGGTAGCCTCTAAACACGAATCATGCTTTTTCTTCCAAATGCTTCCACCAGAGCCCTGCACTCAGTCCACCAAGCTCCTCCAGCCATTTCCTTGCTAGCACCAAAACAAGCACTTATTATATTCAGTAGGTGGCAGTTTTAAGAGAAAACATTATGATAAATTAGCCTTCTCAATGGACAGGGAGAAAACAGATTGGCCAGCCTTCACCAAGGCAGACAGGATGCAGATATCTGAAAAATAACAATCCTCCCAGAGCCATACAGAACGTCCTTCATGGGCAGCATGCTCTATGCAAAACTGCAGCCAACTTGTCTGTGAGAAGACAAGCAGCAGCCTGCCATAGAACAACATCCTAGATAACGCCGTGTGCACACTGTGGAATGGGTGTGTCCGTTCTGTGCTAGGCCTCTCTGAATACAGTGGACCTACAGGAATAAACATGCTCATCTATGAAAGTGTTTCAAAATGTATTCATGCTTGCTCTAAGTATATAACAATCCATTTTTAAACAACAACCAATTTGTGATTTCTCTTATGTTCTTTTTGCAAGCATAAAGTATGTGCTCACTTCACGGATAAAGGAAAACAGTCTCCCTGGCAACCTGTGATTTGGAGGAAAACACACTCTGTGAAGGATTTTAACTGGTAACAACAGCAAAGTTGTTCAGAGAAATCCTTCTACTGAAAACTTTCTTTTTTTTTTTTCCAAGACAGGATTTCTCTGTGTAGCCCTGGCTGTCCTGGAACTCACTCTGTAGACCAGGCTGGCCTCGAACTCATAGAGATCCACCTGCCTCTGCCTCCTGAGTGCTGGGATTAAAGGCGTGGGCCACCACTGCCTGACTGAAAACTTTTCTTAAAACATGCATTATACTTATTGGAAGGAAGCAAGGGAGGGAAGGAGGGAGGTAGGGAGAGAGGAAGCAAGGAAGGAACCTTGTTATAACTTTGCATTTCAACCCTCTGGGTAAGCTTCCTGAGTGCTAGAATTACAGACATGTACTACCATTCCAAGCACTTTTAAAATAACTTTTAAAGCAGAAATGAGCTGACTAGATAGTAAATAACTATTAAGAAAGTCTAAAATATGGAGTCTCAGGACAGGTGAGAATCAAAGTTGCTTTTGACTTGCCAGCATGGCCTCTGGCCATCTAAACTTTAATCTGCACTGCGGGAGAGGAGGAAATAGACTATAGCAGATGATCATTCCTAAAATAATTTGGGACCAAATTCTACTACTTCAGGGTAAGCCAGAAGGCACATGTTCACATCACATAGATTCAGAACTAAAAAAGAATCTTTAATTACACTTTTAAATTGTGTGTGTGCGTATGTGTGTGTGTGGGGGGTGCACACATCATGGTGTACATATGGAGATCAGAGGACAATCTGAGAGGCTCCGTTCTTTCCTTCTACCATATGGGTCCCAGGAATCAAACTCAGGTCGTAAGACTTAGCAGCTGTCATCTTTACCCACTGAACCATCTCACCAGCCCTAGAACTTAAATATTTGAACTTGGATAATCACCCATCCCTCTAGGAAACAGACAGAAGCAATGGCTCCTCCCCAGGAGCAAAGAAACTTTATTCTGTCCCTCAAGTAATTCAGCATAAACACACAGCACACACCTATCATACACATTTATGCAGTACTCCCACACATATACACATCATAATAACAACATAAAGATAACACGAGAGACTGGTGGGGGGGGTTCATCAATATAAGGAAGAAGCAGAAAACACCAAAGAAGAGATAAAGACCCACAAACCTAGAGATACTTCAGATTCTGGTGCTATGGGTTTTGAAACAATAATTCAGAGGGGAACTAACTGAAAAGATCACAAAAAGATGACGAAAGATGCCATGATGAAAAGGAGAAATAAGGAAGTTGTTGGGGAAGATACGTTGATGACGTGACCCCTCTTGAGATATGGGGTCACAATGAAGGTGGGATTCAGGAAACTCTGAACTGTGCACATCTGTGACTGTGAATGCTGAGAAACCAGGAGGAGCAGGGTACTCAGTAAAGAGAACTCCATCGTGAATTTGTGCATTTTTAAGAACCTGTGGAAAATCCAGGTGGAAATGTTCAGAAAAGAGATGAGCATATGGTTTTGCAGCTGCGGAAGACTGTGACTTGGACAGAAACATGTAGCCTCATCAGAGGAGCGAACAGAAAAGAGAGCCCACGGACAGACTGTGATAACAATGAACACCTGAGTTAAGCAAACATTTGCAATTATGTGGATGTACTTAAACATTCAAAGGAGGTTTAGGTCTTTCTCCTACACCCAGAAAGCCATCCTTAAACACCATCTAAGCACAGGTAACACCTTAAATGCATCTTGGAATGCTCACACACCTTTTCAGGGCAATGGACACATAAAATCAGCCAAAATTCCTGGACTCAGGAGCCTATTTAAGTCACCCAAATGACTGCTATTATTTACTACTCATTTGCAGTTAAAAAAGAATCAGAAGAGAAAATGGAGAAATAATTTAAGTCAGTAGAATATATTCTACTACATGCATTTCATTAACTATATTTACAAAGGCCAAATACTTCAAATATTTATTCACACTAAAATATATCCAGTTTAAAAATTCATTCCCACTTGACAGTATTTGTCAGCATATGGATTAGAAGTGTAGCAGAAAACGGACATATTTTAGAGTAATAAAATCCAACAGAGTTTGTTTCCTTTTACTGTCTATTTGTGTGATTGGTCAAGATACTTGACCATCCGATAGAATCAGCTAAGAACATTCATTCCTCACAAATCAGAGTTAAAAGATAGGAATAGCAACTGTCAGCACCATTTTTGTTTTTATTTGGCTCCAGTCAGACTCTGAATTCTAACTTCTCAGGTTACCTTTGGTAGACTAAATGAAAACCTACACTTGTCATGAGAGGATATGCAAAGAGCCCATCACAGTAACGAGCTGTCTTAGTTAGGGTTTCCATTGCTGTGATGAAACACCAAAGCAAAAAGTAAGTTGGGGGACTGGAGAGATGGCTCAGTGGTTAAGAGCACTGGCTGCTCTTCCGGAGGACCTGGGTTCATTTCCCAGCAACCATATGGCAGTTCACAACTGCTTGTAACTCTAGTTGTAGGGCATTGGACAACATCACACAGACATGCATGCAGGTGGGCAAAACACCAATGTATACAAAATAAAAATAGATAAATCATTTTTTTTTTTAAAAAAAGCAAGTTGGGGAGAAAAGGGTTTATTTGGCTTACACTTCCATATCACTGTTCATCATTGAAGGAAGCCAGGACAGGAACTCAAGCAGGGCAGGAACCTGGAGGCAGGAGCTGATGCAGAGGCCATGGAGGAGTGCTGCTTACTAGTTTGGTCCTCATGGCTTGCTCAGCCTGCTTTCTTGTAGAACCCAAGACCACCAGCCTAGGGATGACACCACCTACAGTGGGTTGGGCCCTCCACCATCCATCACTAACTAAGAAAATGCCTCACAGGCTTCTTACAACTCCATCTTAGCTTTCTCAATTGAGGGTCCCTCCTCTCAGGTGACTTTAGCTTGTGTCAAGTTTACATAAAACTAGCCAGGACACTGGAATATATCACTCTCCATGACGAATGAAAGCTATAGATATTTATTATCATAAAAGGGATTATAGAGGCTGGAGTTGGTAAAGTGCTTGCCACACAAGCATGAGGCCTGAGGTTTGAAACCCATGTTAAAAACTGAGCATGGTAGCGTGCACTTGTAATCCTAGCACAAGGGAGGAGGAGATAGGTAGACTCCTGGTGCATGGTGGACAAATAGTCTAGCCAAATTGGTGAGCTCCAGATTCAGTGAGAAACCTTGTCTGAATAAATAAGTCAGAAAGTGATAGAGGAAGCTCCCTAATGTCAACCTCTGGTCTTTGCACGCACGCGCGCACACACACGGAGTTATAGGTGCTATTTTCTTACTCTCACAGACTTAACATCAGATCTCCTGAGAATCAATGATACCTCTTGGTCTAGTACTGTAGGGCTTGCCCATTTTACAGTTGCTTTGGTGGGCTCCCATGAGGCAAGCGGTCTACGTTTGGCCCATCGCCACCTGTGCACTAGTCCCCACACTAAGCTTCAAACCATCCCAAGAATTAGAAAGGGATTGATTGTAAAGAAGGGTAAGGAAGTCACAGAAAAACAACCCAAACACCCTATTCTAGAGGGGCTAACAACACAGGTATTAGGCACTCAGCTATTTGGTAGCTTAAAGAAATGGCTTGACTGATTTTGTTGTTGTTTTCATTTGGAGTTAAGTAGCTTTTGGAACTTTGTAAACATACAGCTTAACTTTCAACAATGATCCCTAATGTTAGGTACTACAATAATAACTACATAAGTACAAAAAACATCTTTCAAATAATACAGCTCCAAAATCAGAACCAAGAAAGATGAAGGAATTAAAATTTCATTTCCAATGCATTTAATCTATTCTCAGAACACTGCAATTTATTTATAAATGTGGACACTGAAAATTAAAATGTCATTTTCATAACACTGGAAATCAATATTCAGAAGAAAGTGATTATTAAGTCATTTTTTTCCTATAAAGTGTGATTTTTCTTTTTTTAGCTGCATCTTCAATTGGTTCCGTTTCTTTCTAAATCAAAACTGAAGAAAATCAGGATGGCAAACAATAAGGAAATAAGAATAAAAGGTGCACGTGGGGCTCTGTGCTACAGTTTATCCACCTCACAGAAAAGCCATGCCATACCTTGGACAGTTGTCCTTTAAGACCCATGTGTAAAGGCTTAGTCCCCAGCCTGTAGAACTTTGTTTGGGAAGGGAGTACTGGGAGGTCTTTAAGTCACAACTTAGAAGAGGTGTTAGGACAGCAGACCCTTCTTTACTTTTCTGTCCTGAGGCGAACAGCTTCCTCCAAAACTCAATATCCCATCATAATGGGTTGTATTGCTGGAGCCCAACACAACGAGGTCAGTCAGTCAGAGGATGAAAGCTCCAAAACTATGAGGCAAATTAACCTCCTCTTTATAAGTTATCTTGTCTCAGGCACTTGTTAGGATAACTTGATAACTGAAGCCAAGTGCAACAGTTGGGATGGATGTTGCTGGCATGCCTGCCAGTGACATTGCCCCTTTATATACCAGGCATCTGCAATGGCATAGTGCCATTCATTCATTCATTCATTCATTCAATAAATATTTGTAGGACAGTTGTGAACAAGAGAGACAGACTGGCTTCTCAGCATCACAGTTTTTCCCTACAGTTTCTTTTCTTTTCCCATTTTCCCATTCATTGTCTTTTATCAATCAGTCATGTCATCAACACTTACTGGACATGCTAGTTCTATGAATAAAGATCAATAATAGATCACATTAGTGACAAGCAACTTAAACTTCCTTATCAATTAGATCAAAAGTCATAACTTGAGGATAGAAAGGAAATAAAAAAAAAAGGGCAGATAAATTTCAGTTTGTAATTTATTAAGTCATTCAACTGACACAAATTAGGCACTTGCAATGTTTAAAGAGATTTGCTCAATGACTTAAAAGACACAAAAATAAAGTAAACCAGAATGAGAGGAATCACTTCCAGGTCTTATCCAGCCTCCTGTGTTTTCATTCTCATGTCTTTCTGTTTTTCAGGTATTAAAATTTATTTTAGTTATTGCACAAGGGCTTCACCATGACATTATCATTTCATACAGCATTGGACTCTGCTCATCTTACAGCCCTTCCTCACCCCTGCCATCTCTCCCTCTTCGGGTGGTCCCCTTCCATTAATATACATTCCACTTGACAATGCTAGTGTCTTCTCACCAGCGCCACCCGGCAGAAAGTGTGGATGAGGCTTCTGGTCCTCCCTGCTCCCATCCCTTCCTGCCAGCTCTGCCAGGGAGCCACAGTGGAGCAGGGTGCTGCCCACTCCTCCCCACTGGAATGCACTTGTTACAACCCACACTTTACAGTTGACATCATTTTCTTTAAAAAAAAATTTTTGTAGTTAGTATAAAAAATAATGATTCAGCCGGGCAGTGGTGGCGCACGCCTTTAATCCCAGCACTTGGGAGGCAGAGCCAGGCGGATCTCTGTGAGTTCGAGGCCAGCCTGGGCTACAAAGTGAGTCCCAGGAAAGGCGCACAGCTACACAGAGAAACCCTGTCTCGAAAAACCAAAAAAAAAAAAAAAATAATGATTCATAGTGACATTTTCGTATCATTATACTCTGTTCCTTTTTATACTCCTCTGCCCTCCCCAATGGTGACTCATTTCTTGTTAGTCCCATTCCCTTGCCCCCAATAGTCTGTCTGTTTTGGTGACATATATATTCTTTTATGCCCTATTGTTACCTACTCTCTTCAGTCCTCTCTCCTCCACAGTTCCCTTTCTATACTCTATCTATCTATCTATCTATCTATCTATCTATCTATCTATCTATCTATCTATCTACCCATCCATCTATCTACCTATATTCCACATATTAAAGAAAGCATATGATATCTATCATCAGTCTGGCTTATTTCATTTAACATAATGACCTTCAGTTCTATCCACTTTCTTGTAGATGTCAGAATTTCACTCTTTGTAGCTGAATAAAATTCCCCAAAGCAAGCTATCTCTTCTTTGTGATTTCTGATGTTCTCCCAATCTTTCTCTCTTTGGAACAGTGTCTATTCTTTGTTATCTTGGCTTGTTTTACTTACTGCATCATGTTGAGGCAGTTTCTCATCTACCATCTCACCCCAGAAGTTTCTAAATCTTCCATTCTTGACTTGGACTGTCTTGGAGTTTTATTATTGCTAATTAATTAATTAATTTGATTTTTTTTTTTGGGAGATGATTTCTCTGTGTAATAGCCCTGGCTATCCTAGAACTCACTCTGTAAACTAGGCTGGCCTTGAACTCACAGAGATCTGCCTGCCTCTGCCTACTGAGTACTGGGATTAAAGGCGTGTGCCATCACTGCCTGTCTTATTTTATTCTTTAAGGCAGGGTTCCATGTAATCCAAGCTCACCTTAGACTCCCTATGTAACCTAATTTGACCTTGAACTCTGATCCTCCTACCTCCACTTCCCAAGTGCTGAGATGATATATATGTACCACCGCCCCCAATTTTATACAGTTCTGGGGCTCAAACCCAGGCCTTTAGGACTTCATCCATTCTAGACAAACACTCTACCAACTGAGCTACATCTCCTACCTGCATTACTCTATTTCTGCTAATCACACTCACTCTTTATTTCCTAGTCATACCTACTGTCACCATAAGTATTCAGATCATTAATTTAGTAATTAAACTTTTATAAGTTGTAGCCACCAACTTATTCAAGCAGAATAATAGTTCTTCTCAACTTAAGACAGGATTTCCTGCCTCTGTGTCTTTCTTTGTACTCATTCCTTTGACCAGCATTTTTCCCCAGCTCATCTAACTGGGTGATAATTCAATCCATCCTTTATCATCAAGACCAAATAATTCCACAAAGCCTTCATTTTCACAAGAAATAACTTCATTATTTTATGACATTACAGTGATTCATGCATCATTACTTCCTTTCTCCCAAAGTCATGCTTATCCTTAGGAAGAAGAGTTTATGCTCAAATAGTCTTAGATTTTAGTGAGAAATATAAAAAACGATAGAGTATGTAAAAGCTTTTCATCCCCCTCACCCCCCCCCCAAAAAAAAATAATCACCTCCCAAGACTATGGATATCACTTTGCTATTCTAATCAGGAACAAATCCCAGATCAGTTCCAAACTATTCAAAAAATGTTGTGACATTATATTGGGTCACTGGAAAAGAGTATGCTGTGATAACCCAATCGAGAAACAGGAAATCACAAGTTAGTAGCCAAAGTCACATGTAATGTTTCAATGGAAAAGATGACATAGCTGTTCTTACTTCTCTTTCCTACTGCCCAGCTGGCGAGCTGTGTACTGGTCCCCATAGTCAACCAACAGCAGTTGTCGAGAAAAGACATTCACTTTGTTGCCTATAAATAAATCTTCTAAGCGCAGGTCCTCATACTTGGTCCGCTTTAAGAAGGTGCGACGATTCTTTACATCATGCTAAAACCAAACACAATGAGAAATACTTATAAAGAATGTTACCCTTACTGGGAGGTAGAAACAGTTTTCAGTTTATCTTACCAAAGATAGCTACACCCTTTTACTTTTTAACTACCCATATAAATCATATTTTATATGATAAACCTCTATTTCTAAATCTAATCTAGTAATAATAAAAATATATACTTTAAAATACCCTGAATAGACTTATTTTAGCCAAGCTGTTTCAGCGCCTATGAACTAGAGACAGACAGATTCTCACATTCCTTATTTTTACAAACAAATTCCAATACTAGATAAGCTCATTAAAAATTGTATTTTATTTAAATCATGTGTATATTTGTGTGTCTCTGTGTGGGTATGTACATATGAGTGCAAGTGTAGAAGCCAGAAGAGGGTATTGGCTTGCCAGGAGCTGGAGTTACAGTTGTTGGGAACTGCCTAACATAGGTGCTGGGAACCAAACTTGGGACCTATAAGAGCAGCAAGCATCTTAACTGAGCCATCTCTCTAGGCCCTCCACTCCCAAATAGGCTGACTTTTTAAAGGGATTATCAATGAAGGAATGCAAAGGAAGGGACCCTCTTAGATCCTCTTCAATTTGACTTTTTATACAGATACCAACTTACAATAATATCTATGACTATAATAACCATTTATCTATAACCACTTATCAAATATTGATTAATCCAAAACACCAGTTGTCCCACTTTAGTTTGAGGTCTCTCTGTATATATCTATTTACCTCTGTGTGCATGCATGTATATTATATGCATGTTCATGCATGTACATGTAGGTAGGTGTGCATGCCCACATACATACATGAGAAGGCCAGAGGAGGTTGCTGGTGTCTTCCTCTGTCATTTTCTACCTTACTCTATTAACACAAGGTCTCGCACTGAACCTGAAGTTTGCTGTTTAAGCTATGCTATCTGGCCAGCTCTGGGGAGCTGCCTGTTTCTGTGGCTCAATGTTGGCATAATCACATGGAACAAGGCCCAGCTACTATGTAGGTGCTTAATGTTCAAGCTCAGACCTTCACGCTTTCACAGCCAGTGTTATTGCTCACTAGGAGATCTCTCTAGGTAGGTCTGTTTGTTTTGAGACAAGGTCTTACTATACAGCTCAGGCTGACCTTGAACTTGTGATTCTCCTGCCTCAGCCTTCCATGTATTGAAATTGCACTCAAATGTCACCAAGTTTAAGCTGTTCCTATATTTTTTTAATGTCAAAATTTGTGAAATACTTTGGTTAGAAATCTGCAACAAGGTTGGGTGTGAAAGTGCACATTTATAACCCCATTTGAGATGAGGCAGGATTGCAAGTGAGAAGCTAGTCTGGATTATGTGGTACAAGTCTGTCTACCACGTATCTCAGAAAAAAAAAATACCTGCACAAAGTTATCTTTATGTACTGATATATTAATGAACACCAAGAAAAAAGAAGTCCAATAGAAATCTCTCTTCAGATAGTGGTTGGTTACTCCCACACCTTTGTGCCGCTATTGCATCAGCGTATCTCACAGGCAGGTCACTGTGTATGATGAATGTGTGTCTCTCAGTGTCTGCATGTGCTTCTTGTGCTTTTTTTCCTTTGGCTTTTTCTTTGTTTGTTTTGTCATATTCTGATTTGTTTTTATTTTGTGTTTTAGATGTCTGCTTGTATTCTAATGAAAGAGAGAAAGAAAGGGTGTGGTCGTGAAGTGGGGAAAATCTGGAAAGAAGTGAGGGAGGGGAAACTGTAATCAGAATCTATTGTATGAAAAAACTATTTTCAATTAAAAAAAGAAAAGATATATCTTCAAATGCAATTTCAAAATCAACCACATCAAAGGCAGTCTTATTCTTCTTCCTGTCCCATATGAAATAGCTTTGCTATCAGTGTGTGAGCTCCCATGTATGAGTAGACTTCCAGGAACGTGCATGGAAGCCAAAGGTGAACTTCAGGTCTTCTCAGGAACTGTACACCTTACTTTTATTTGTTTGTTTTGCTTTTTGTTTGCGGGAGGGTTTTTTTGTTTTTGTTTTAGGACAGAGTCTCACTATGTAGCGGTGGCTGGCCTGGAACTTACTATGAAAACCAAGCTGGCCTCAAACAAAGACTGGCCCGGCTTCTGCCTCCTGACTGCTTGATTAGAGATGGGATCCACCACACCTGGTTCACCTTACCTTTTGAGACAGGACCTCTCACTGAACCTGGGGCTTACCCATTCAGCTGGACCATCTAGCCAGCAAGCCCCACATCTCTACTTCCACAGGGCTGGGATTACAGGCAGGCACCAGCATGCCTGACATTTTACCTGACTGCTGAGCATCAGACTCAGGTCGCCAGCGTGCAGAGCGAGCGCTTTACCAACTGAGCCACCCACCTTTCGAGCCCTCATTTACCATTTCCACAGATCCATCTGCGGGGTAATACAGGAGCTCATAGCGCCGGAGCAGCGAGGCGTTGGGATCATACCACTCTGCAATGAAAGCGAACCTCTCACTCTGATTCTGTGAAGAAAAGAACTTTATCACCATCACATAGCACATAGCACTCATGTAAGTCATACAAAAAGAAAAGGAGGATTTCCAAATATTTACACAAGCCAATCTTTGCTATTATAATGAAATATTCCCCTTAGAAATTTGTCCTGCTAGTTTCTGATTAAATAACCTCAGGTCTTTCAAAGGTGAGTTTAATCTTTGTTTCATGGCCACTCAATTGTCCTAATTCAATCAGCAATCTTGGAACGTGAGCTCCTGATCTGACTACTTTAACAATTCACAGTTGCTCTGAAGTCAGGCTTACTTAAAAACTATCAATAAGCAACTGAGACACTCCATTGCTAGAAGTTTTAATATCCCACACTTGGGAACTTAGCAAGTTTAGACTACTGTCACGAATGTAGTAAACATCTTTTCTCTCCTTAATAATTTTACAGTAGTATCCGCAGTGGCATTCCTGCTGAGCTGCACCTGGCCTGGCTCCAGAGAGTAGCACCTAGCCCTAATCTGTCTTTTGTTTAGCAGACACCTTTTGTGTTCCTTCCTGCCCTCTATGTGAATCCTGTCTTGGACTTTCCCAAGGATACAAAGGCCTATGCAAAACTTGATTCAGGAAACCTGGAAAACGGTGGCACCTGAGAAATGGAGGAATTTGCACTTGGCATTGTATTGTTGGGAGCCCCTTTCAAGTTGTTTTGAGCATATGGAAATTAACTGGCTAAACTGTATTGGAGAGAAATAAAACTGCCCTAGGCAAAGGGTTAGTGCTTCAGTCCTTCGAGGCTGCACCCCCCTGCAGCCATGGTAGGCTAGATTCATTCTTAAGATGCCTCTGTGTCTTCATTCCATGGACCCGCGTGAACCCACACACTCGTGTAGCGACCACACAGCTACAAGTATCATTGTGTAGAAACCTACTGTTTCTACTAAAGTGTTCACCTCTGAGAAACAGAAGCAAGACAGGCCTTCTGTGTATTACTCTCTGAAAAGTAAACACCAAACAGAAAAACTGACCAGAACAATTTCCACTATTTCCAAAAGTTTCAAGCACTCCGAAGCTCTTAGGTATGTATGACCCTTTCAGAGTTTCGACCCAGAGTTTCACAATAGAACCTACAGACAAGGAAAAAGCATCCTTCCTGTCATCTTGAGAAAGTAGCCAGTTTCTTCTATAACCATGATTCACCTCAATGAAAAATTTTTTATGAATACATAAAAACAATCATGGAGGGCTGGAGAGATGGTTCAGTGGTTAAGAGCATGGCTGCTTTTCGAGAGGTCCTGAGTTCAATTTCCAGCAACCACATGATGGCTCACAGCCATCTACAGTGGTGGGATCTGATGCCCTCTTCTGGCATGCAGGTGTAATGCAGATAGAGCATTCATTAAATAGATGATAGATGATAGATAGATGATAGATAGATAGATAGATAGATAGATAGATAGATAGATAGATAGATAGAGATAGATAGATAGATAGATAGATAGATAGATAGATAGATAGATAGATAGATAGATCTTTTCAAAATATCATGGAATTGCTACTCACAGATGCAGAAAAATAACTCCCAAGCCAGGACCCAGTACTGTTTCCTTTATGAAGTAAGGAGTTACTCTGAGTATAAACTGTATTCAAACTTGGCTTACTTTCTACATCTGATTTTCCTTTCAAGTACACACACTGTCCCTTCTTGTGTCTCACATGCATTTGAGGATATGAGGACAGTCCATCTAGACTTGGTCCAAGGTGGGCTTCACTAAGGTTTGCACATCCCTTCCAAACCCTTTTCAAAAGTTAATTTCCATTGTGATAGTAGTAAGTGTTAGAACTCTAAGAGATGTTCACAGGGAGTACATTAAAGAGTCTCCACTCAGGCACTCAGGTTAACGAATCAGGGCTGCTTTGGGCGTGGGTATTACAAAGGGAACACTCCCACTCATCCTCTTTGATCATCCACTATGGAACAAAGATGCTCATGACACATTCTTCTACTTCTCAACCCGCACAACAATAAGCCAAATAAATATATTTTCTTTATAAGCTACCCAGTCTTACATATTTTGTTAAAACAACAGAAACTAAGAGAGAGCCTGATTCTCCCCACCCTCTTTCCCCCAGACCACATTCATTTTCAAAGCTTGTAAGTTTTACTTTTTTACTTCATTGAGCCAAATCTATCATGTTCTAAGTGATATCATTGCTTGGTATCATTTTATTCAAATCTTTTATTTTACAGACAAAGAAATTGAGTTCCAGGATATACATGACTAGCATAACATCACAGAGCTTGCCAGGTGACTGATTCAAAGCCAGAAACGGCACTTTGCACTGCCCAGCCCCTTCCATGGTTCTGGCCTTGCAGGTGAACTCAAGGAGAACCTGATTCTAGTAGAACATACAGATACCCTGAGTTTGTTCCATAATGTGCCTGATAGTCATGGAAATAATTTTTCACTTCCTCTTCATGGAATATTTCAGTTTCTCTCAGAAATACTTTATAGAAAATATTCAAACATTACATTGTATCAAAAATATTCTGGTTTTTTTAAGTCATTTTATTCTGGGTGGTGGTGGGATTGAACCCAGGCTCACTTACTGGCTAAGCCCAAACTGTTCCTTGAAGAGACTTAACCAGGAGGAGGAGGATGGTCATGGAACCCTGTGTTTCCACACAACAGCCATTTATTTCTACCTCAGTCAGAGCAGGGAGGATTACTTAAGCATCATGAGGAGGCCTGTCAAGTTCCCTCACGGAAGGAGCATGTGAGGAGAGGCCTTAGATCCGATCTGAGAGTCCAGCCACTAGATACGTCCCGTACATCCCCTCGCGGTTGTATATACTTATGCCCCATCAGCATAGGATCCTGGGAAGTGAGGGGTTACAGCACACACGTAGTAAGTAACAGGTAAACTGAAAGGCCATGCCTTTGCATCTAGGGAAGCCCAGACAATCATAGATGTTCTACCAAAAACTCAGGTAGCAATTTTCTTTCAAAATTTTATAATTTAATTGCTCATACAATGATTTGTTTCATAATTTGAACTTACAAAATAGGCAAGGCACTACTGAAAAAATCGTAACACTAATCAATATGAAACTACTATTAACAAATTATAGTCATGAGAAATTAACCGCTGTGTTTTGGCTTCGCACAGAAATCAAAGGTGTTATGCAAATAGCAAAACCTTAACATTCATACAGTTAATGTAATTTCATTTTATGGATTTTAAATTTTATTTTACTCTTTAGAGATAGGACCTCATATAGCCCAAGACAAGGACTGTTGATCCTCCCTGCCTCTAACCTTCTAAGTCCTGGGCTTACCAAAGGATGCCACCATGCCCAGCATAAATTTTCAAGTCATATTGTACACTGCACTTATTAGTAGTGTATTTGTCTAAAACAGACAGTCTAATGCCACATAGCTACTCTAAAACTAAAAAATAATTATGGGTAGGATTGTAGGGCCAAACAAGAATCCAAGGACTCTATCAGAGTTTATGACAAAATAACTTATACTTTATTTAAAAGGAATGAATATGTACACGTGAGAAAGCATTTTCGTTCAAGGATTTCCGGTATTGCAAATAAAGCATGCAACATTGTTTTCAAAGAAATTACCAGATTTTTCATTTAATGCCTCACAAGTGAAGTAAAATCTTAAGGAATAATTGCATTCCAAGTTATTTCTTTTATAATTTTTAATTGAAAGATTACATTACTCCTTCTCCCTCCAACCTTTCCCCACTGCTCTCAAATTTTATCCTCTTTTCTTTAGTGGTTACTGGTACATATACACATACATGCATAAATACAACCTGCTGAGTTAATTCAGTGTTGATTGTATGTATGTAATTTCAGAGTTGTGTGGAGGGCCCAAAACAGCTTGACCACACAGCTGCCATGGCAGGCTTAGAGGTCCAGACACAGCTTCTGTGACAGGCTTACTGGCAGGCAACACCCAGACCCAGGAAAAGCCATAAGTTGACCCCACCCAGGGAGGGCCTACATCTAAGGGGAAGCACCTGACATCCCAAACATTCCAACCATTAGATAAGGTGGCCAGATGTCCCTGAGTCTAGCACTCACCTATTTCTGTTTTACAGATACCCCTAGACAGATGTCAGGCAATTAGGGTCCTGAACCCTGGAAATCCCCTCACCCCAACCTCTGCTATGATAAAAATTCCATCTTGCCTGAACTCAGGCCTCTCTGCTCTCACTGCTGCATCAGACAGACAAGAAAGACCAAGCTCAGAGCTTGAAAATAAAGGCTCTTTGCTTTTACATATGGGATTCAGTCTCCATGGTGGTCTTTCAGGGGCCCCCACAATCTGGGCATAACAGGTTGACCACTTGATATTGGATAACCAATTAGGGGTCTCATCCCCAAGGAAGACTAATTCTTCCACTCTCAAGTTAGTCATTATAAATTATAAGATTTCTCAAGAGAGGTTGTGTCAATACACTTTTCTGGTGTAATAGAATCCCTATTAAAATTCCCTATGCTTTTTCAGGGCCTGATATTCTGGTAAAGCCTCAAGAGGGGGCAGAGTAAAATTAAAATAAGGAGTAAGTTTAGCAAATACTGACAACATCACTCCTAAGGACCAAAAATTTAGAAATGCAATCAAGGGAGAGAATGGGGAGGGAGGAGGTTGTTGCTGTTTTGGGTTCTGGGGATGCAAGCTTAGGCAAGTACTTCAATGACTGAGCCATCTCCCCAGCTACCTACAAACTCTAAACTATTGTAACACTAACTTTATGATCCAATGTACACCTAGCAAAATTACTGAAAAATTTCTTGCAAGATATTTTCTTTTGTATTGACCATTTATTTATTTATTTATTTATCCATTCATTCATTTTTTTTTCTATATGTACTGGTATTTTGTCTGCATGTGTGTCTGTCTGACGGTGCTGGATCCCCTAAAACTGGAATTACAGACAGTTGTGAGCTGCCATGTGGATGCTAGGAATTGAACCCAGGTCCTCTGGAAAAGCA